TTGCCTTATCCGTGAACTCCAACGAAGTCATTTTCAGACAAAATGATATACTAAATTCTTTATTTTATTTCAGACTCAGTTCTAGGTTATGAACCGAACTGAACTGTAAATTATTTAATACCGAAGAAGGCAAAATAGTACCGTCAATAAAACTGTTCTTATTCATGTAATTAGGGCTGACCGCGTCTAGCCTTCTAAAAGAAAAATATCTTGTGCTGCTAAGACCAAGTCTGACGGGGCTATGAAGATGACGAAACCTGTGTCACATGCCTTGTGTTGGCTATTTCTCCACCAAAGTCATGCGTCATGATAGTGGTTGCAAAGAGCTGCGTAAGATATGCTCACTGCATTGACAGGTTCCCAGTCTCAGTGCTTTGATCTAGTTATGTCAGAGCGATCATGACTGGCGTCTTGTTGTCAGTGAGAAGCAGTGCATGACCTCAGCGTCTCTCTCTCTCATCACCGCAGAACAGCGCAATCGATCCTGACAAAAGAGAGTGGACTTGAGACAGAACATGAGTAGCGACCTATAAAAAAAGCACAGTCCCTAGGCGCACATTTCGCGATAGCAGAGAGGAGTGAAACATGACTACAACAGACTCTCGGACCCACCAAGCTATAATACATCAATCACAGCTGACCGATGATCAGGAACAGTTGGCCGCACAAATAGCTATGGAGGCCATGCAAATGTCCGCCTCCGAAAGTGCTGTCGCCAAACAAATTAAACAGGAATTTGACAAACGCTATAATCGCTCATGGAACTGTATCGTTGGACAACATTTTGCTAGGTACGATGAGTGCTGGAATTATGATATTGTGCATTTACTGATTTCCTTTTCTGCATTTGTGAATTCCTACCTTTGATATTAAAATGTCTTAATAAGTTAATACGGAAAATTTGTCGTCTGTAAGCTTTCTTTTTACGACTAATTGATAAAAGATCTTTACATCTTCTCCAGTATCAATGTTTTTCAGGTCATTATCCAGTCATTTCACCGAACATGAATTGTCGTATCACACTGTGACAGATCATTCAGTGAAAAGATCCAAAATACTTTATACAATATTTTTCTAATTTTATTTTTACTAAC